AACATTTCTGGTAAGATTCACCACAAAATATCCATGAGTAGCAAAATCTCTTATGTAGCTGGAATTGCAAATTACAACTTTCACTCCATTTATTACTATGAAATCGATGATAATTACTGCATGATCATCTTTGCAATATGCAACTTGGGATTCTGCCCCGTTGCAAATAAACATGTCATCATATCTCTCATGATCATGTAGCAACAAGGTATCTTGATTTCACAGGCTCTGAAGCTTGCTCTAACATTATATATCGAAGTACATCCTTTATCTTTTTTTTTTCTTTTTTTTTCGTCTGTACATCCTTTATCTTATACAACTCCTTATCTCCTACACTAAACTCATTTGCCACGTAGCAATCAAGTATCTCCTCTCTTGTTTTTTCTCTCGTTATTCCATGTAGTTTAGCATACATCAAGCCGTTGATCAAACTATATAAAATAAAATATGCATTTATTGTAAATACATAAGAAATAATAATACATTTTATTTCTCTCTCAAAATATTTTTTTTTTCCGAAGCTTGCTATTTTCATTTCTTTATTTTGACAAGTGTTAGGTGATATTCTTAACACATTTTATAGGTTTTTTTGTTTGTTTTATCGAGTCTGTTATTCGAGAACAAGTTGTTTTCTGTGTATTTTAGTGCTTATAGGATTCAGAACGTGGAAAACATAAGTGGGTTATTTAAGAAAGAGATGAGCCAGAAAAGTATCTAAAGAAGAGATGATCCATTAAGAGGCCTGATCGGTGAAGAAATCAAACCGACCGGTTAAGAAGACACCGCCCACCGATCGATTGGGCCTGTCCACCAATCACTTGGTTTGTTAAATTACCTTTTTCTTCTTTTTAGGGTTGTGTCCCAGTCTCTATAGAAACCATTTGATTCTGTAGCTGCATGGCTTACTATTACTTTTTGATTTTTATAGTTTAAGGTGTTCTTCTCTTCTTCATCTTCTTTGTTTTGTTTATGCTTTAAGATTTCAAAAATCTTTGGTAAATCTCCTTTGAAACATGAGATCTTCTATAATGATCTCATGTACCTAGGTCATGTGTGAGTAGTCTCAGTGAAACAACCCGACTCGTTTAAAAAAAAAATTAATTAACTAATATCCCCATAAATATTAATTAATTTTCTTCAATTAAAAATCAAGCACAATTCATATCAAAAATCCAATTCAATTTACTATAAATTAACCAACAAAAATCAACAAATTATCTAACAATTTCTAATCCAAGATTCTATCATACTAAAAATAATAAAATAACACCAACGAGACCCTAGATCATCCTCCTCTTCTCGCCATGATTCAACGATCACACTTTATCTTTATCTGCACCAAGAAAAGAGATGCATAAGTATTTCAATAAATACTTAGTGAGGCGATCCTCCATCTATGAGCTATACACACAAGCAACTAAGATCACAAATCAACACATAATACATGAAAACCAACCAAAACAATGACAATCATCCATTAACACAACCATCTCACGGATTCAATTCTGGATCCATCAAAAATCCAGCCTACACATCACAACAAACAAGTCACATAATCTCAATCACTTAGATAAGCTCATGGTCACGCACTCACCTTGAAACAAGAATGATTTTCGAGCCAAAATCAACAATTCTACAACTAGCAGTGACTTCTCAGTCGCCAACAATAGCTCAAGTCACCCTATAACCAACAACAACAACCAAAAACAACATTTAACCTAAACTGTAAAATTCAGGAAAAATAACAGGACGTTCAGCCTAAAAGATGGGATCACAAAACGGAATCTAACCGTCCACATTAAAATCCCACTATTGAAAATCTTCACCTAGATGTCCTGAAGGCCAATTCACCTATTGTCCATGATCTAATTCATCTAGTCTAGTCATGGTGTTGAAATAATTGATCTATTAAAGGGAAGCAAAACTTCTTAATTAGCTTCGCCATAAGTAGTTTTTAGTTTTGTGAATTTGTTGGATTCTGTTCTAATTGTTTGAGTGGATTACTTAGAACCAAACACATCCAAGGTTTATGAAGCTTTGTAGTCGCTTCATGGAATTATCACTTAAACGCCATTTGGATAATTTACAATAGAAATCTGATTTCAAGAACTTTTATAATCATAATCCAACTTACATGTTTTTCATATATTCTTTAATGAATTCTCTATTACTTATAATTATATATATTTATATTTATTATTTATATTATTTATTTATTTTAAATTTACAAAATCAGTTGAGTTCTCGTAACTCCTTGTTGTTCTAGCTTAGTTTAAATCTTTTGCAAGTCTTTTGTATGTTTCTTTGGTCTCTGTGGATTTGTTCCCTAAATACCATTGCGCTTGTTTGTGACTTGCGGTTATTATTAAGCGTAAAACTTATCTGTAACAAAGTTTATCTTTTATTATTTACGCTCTATATGAATAAATGCATATACACATAAATATATTATATATTATATATTATATAGTTAAAACATGTTATCAACATGATCACTCTATCCCTTAATTGTTGAAGGGCAGCTCGGCCACCCCAATATTAATTTAACATTTTTACAATAGTTTCTTAGCTTATACAAATTTAGTTACTTTTTATTTTTCTATTTATTGCTATAATTTTTCATTTTAAAGATGAATGAATTTAGTCATCGTAATATATACACTTTTTAATTTATCATTTTATATAGATGAATTGAATCACCATAATGTTCTAATTTTTTTGATTTTTCGCTCTAATTTTTTTTTAATATGGATGATTTAATCATCATAACATTATATCATATGATTGTTTGTATCATCACTATTATTATAGGAGGTTCAGCGTCCTATGTATAATTATATGTATAAAATCATAAATTATTCTTGATTGTTTAGTAAAAGTTTATATTGGTCTTTCTTTTACTATTCAATTCCCAACATCAAGAGCAAAATTTCCAAAATTTCAGATTTTTTATATTTTATACTACTAATGAACAATAACTGTAATCTAAACATTTTACTAAACAAGAAAACCTCTTAAAAAGTTCTGGGGTTCTCTCTCTTCCTCTAGAGAAAGAAATTTTCTCTCATCCCCTGGTTTCTTCCGGCAAGGTCCGGCTTTTGTTTCGGCGAACTTTTCTAACCTCTTATCCCTTCTCTAATCATTATCTTTCAGGGAGACAAAATTTAGAGCTCATCTTCGTCTTCACGACGTAAATAGTTTCCGGTTTAGTGGTCGGATTTTGTCTACCGGCTAGATTCGGTTTTCTCTCTCGCTTTGGCGAGAATACGATCTCTTTTCCATGGATCCTTATCATCGATTTCTCCATTTTTCTTCAAAGTTCTCTCTGATTTCTCCAATTGTTTGAGGAGTAACATCTTCGTCACTCTCCCGTTTGCTCATGACGCAAGACCAAAGTCGGATCTTAAACTACATCAACTTGGGTGTAGTTGGTGGTGAAGCTTCCCGAAGTTGGTGATCCGCGGAGAAATTATGAAGCGGTTTCATCTAATCAAAACCCGGTAGATTTCGGAGGATTTCCACAGCTTCAAGGCTGATTGGCGGAGGATTTCCACCGCTTCAAGGCTGATTGGCGGCGGCTAATCGGAGATCAGCGGTGTTCAGCGAGTTTCTTGACGGTGGTGCTTGCATACTCGACACGTGGCTTGGAGAAAAACACTTCTTCTACACGTGTTTTGCTAAATCATATTTGCACTAAATTTTGTATGTTTTTTTATTCATGATTTAGTTTGGACCGTTAATTTCACTGTAATCCTCTTGGGCTTGTCCTTTTTGTACTTGCCCTTTGGACTTTATAAATGAAATAGTTGGACGACAAAAAAAAACATTTTACTAAACAAGCAAGAATAATTTCATATATATAATTATATATAGGTCATCGAACCTCCTATAATAATAATGATGATGCCTAATTTAAAAGGTAATTTGAGGCAATTGGCATTGACTGTTCAAATGTTATGGCCAATTTTTTGAAGACATGTTAATTTGGCGAGCATGTGAAATAAACTTAGACTAATTCAATTAGTTTATGGAACCAACCTAAACTATTTTTTTTTTATAGCCTTAAGACTCGACTTTTAGACGTATTTTTCATTTTCAGTTTAGACATTATTTTACTTATAAAGAGTTTTTGGCAAAAGATCTCTCAACCTTATTAAAAATTTGACGAAAATTTCTGAACCCTTTTATTTATTTAATTATATTTGATTATATTTCATACTTTGCTTTGACTTTTATCATGTCTAAGTAGTTTTCCAATTGGGTTTATTGTTTTCAAGGGTATTTTATAATTGAGTGAATTTGTGCAGAGACGTTACTTTTAATAATAATTAGGAAACCAGTATTAGTGAGGAGCGTCGGAGACAACGTTGAAAAAAAAGTTGCAATAGGGCTTGTAGTTGACAATAATTACAAGAATACCAGGTTGGGCTTACGTCGTGCGCGTGGGGAGGAGAATGTGGCTTTACGAATAAACGAAGGAACATTCTGACACAACTTAAATTCTCAACAGTTGGATTAACCTTCACGCGGCAACATATAGAACTAAGTGACAGTTATTAAATTTTAATTTGAATCTATAACAAAAACATATGGATAAAAATTAGAAAATTTAAACCACTAACCTAATCGCGTAGATTTCTATTAATAAATGTAGCACTTATAGTTCGATATATGACTCTATAAAAATATATGAACATGTATCTAAATTTATAGATAAATAATAATTCATTAACTAAATGAGAATTTTTGATGAAATTCAATTTTTTTCCCCAGAAAAAAAAAACATGTTTCGATTGATTTCATGCATAGCCTATGCTTCATCGTCTTCTTCCTTTTCACTCTAAAATTTCTTGTTTTGGTATCCTTGACCAATCTAAATCTTGACCAATCTCCACAAATATCCTTAGATTTGCATCTATACTTTGCAGATCTATTTATGAAGATCCAAAACATATTTTAGATCCTTAATTTTCCGATGAAAAAACAATGGCGGTGTGAATAATACGACGATGTTTTCTTATCGATTTGAATGAATTAGAACAGAGTTGAGAGAGAGATGAACATGAGATCTGCATCTATACTTTGTAGATCTATTTGTGAAGATCCAAAAAATGTTTTACATCCTTATTTGTATTGTGAAAGTTATCTTTTCTGATGAATAAACGATGGCGGTGTGAATCGAGCAATTTCCCAAAACACGGCCGAATTAATTCAAGCTCTGTCGGTTGTAAAGCCTTGAGGACAACTTTAATCGTGTGGAGCTTGAAGTACTGGTTAACACGATCACCCACAGGTTCTTCTCGATCGGCGAATAACCTAGCAGGAAGGTCTACATGCGCCATGTTCCTTAAGAAAAAGTGAAGATCTTCGTCAGTTAATGGACCCACAAGAGAAATTGTAAACATGCAAGCACAAAAGTAAAGATCTATATAGGTTTATGAATAACCAAACCAGATCTAAGAAAATAGGTGAAGAAGTAAAAGGATCTGGGAAGAAGAAACGACAAATATAGATAGTTAAGGTTTTTTGGTAAACGACGGAGAAACAGTAGCTTTAAAACCAACGACGGTGACAGAGCAAAAAACTTACAAAATCGACCAAATCGACCAAAAATTTCATGAAATACAGGGAAACTCCGAAAAAACGCAAATGGAACAAAATCGAGAAAGAATTAGAGAAATATTCTCCATACCGTAACAGAAGATGAAAATTCTTGCGAAAATGAGAAATAGAACCAACGGCGAGAAAAGAAAAGACACCGGAGAAAAAAAAACGGGGACTAAAACAAAAGAGAAAACTGATGGACTTAGGGTTATGAGAGCAAAAAGTCGGAATGTAGCAGAAGAGAGAAGTTGGACAGGCAAGAGTCAGAATAAATAGACACGCATTAAATCTTCGGAAATGGTCTTTACCAAGATAATTGTCATGCGTAATTCGGCCGATATTTGGTAGAAGGGAGAGAGGCGCGTGAGGTTATAATCGGAAGAAAGAGTGGCTAAGTATTATCATTGTCTTGGACCAAATGGGCTAACACCGAAAATTTTAATAAGTCAAAAAGTAACGTCTCCCACCCAATTATCTCTTTATAATTTTGATGTTAGGTTGTTAGATTTGGGATGTTATCTTATTGGTTATTCATTCATAGTTGTTTTGAAAGTTAAACTTGATTACCTACCTTGTTTCTTATATTATGTTAATTCACGAATCAAAATTGTATGTTGAATTCCTTGCAAAAACATAGATGAGCAAATTATCATTAGCCAACCAGAGTTGATGTTAAGGCACTTTACCTATATTTAAAAATATTATTTTGCATAAGAATTTTCTTCTTATTTTCATTTCTTTAGATGAATTGAGAGTAACACTTTTCCCTAATTTGTTTTATTGAAAAAAAAAAAATATATATAAACATAAGAGTCTTCTCTCCATCTAGCCTATCCACCTAAGCATCCACATAAGCAATATTATTTATTTTACATTAAAATACACTTTAAACATTCATATAGTACATATTTATGTTCCTTATAATTAATAAAAAAATTAAATAAATAAAAAACAAATTATGTAAAATAAATTAGATGTTAAAACTGTGGAAGTCGAAACTAACACAATCGAGATTTGTCTAGGGTTTTAATTTAGGGATACGATAAATGTGAATTCTCAAAGAACAACAGAAACAATTGTAACCAAAGATGGTGTTCTTGATCTTATTGATGAACAGAGTAGTTTTGATCGTACAAGAGTTTGATCGTAAGAGAAAAAGATGTTTGTGCTGTGAGAGCTTTGCGTAGTGTAAATCCTAGAGCGATATTGCCTTTTGCTTGAGCCTTGAGTCTCTTTATATAGGGGTGATAAACCGCCTCTCCAACGATATTCTCGGAAGATTTCCATTTATCTTGAAGGCGGCCTAGAATATCGCGGGTTTAGGATAGTTTCCTTATTCTTCGGGGTTTCTTGGAAGATTTCCTGATTTGAGTCGATCCTTCTAGATTATCTCTTATCATTTCCGAGTATGTCGGAAATGATATCTTGCTTAGAAATGATACTTCTGGAGGCGAATATGATTTCGCCTCGGGTGTCTATGATTTCGGCTCGGGCGGCATGGATGATGGCATGACTCCCGAGCCGAGCTGGGGAGACTCTAAAAAGATTGGGCTCGGATACTCTTCGTCGATTGAGCTCGGCTACTCTCAGAGAAGCGGCTCGGGCTACTTGTGAGGTCGGCTCGGGGTGGAATGAAAGCTCAGCTCGGGCATGGTGACATATAGGTTCCCGAGCTGTCGTGGCAAACGTCCCCGAGCCGGTATAAGGTGACCCGAGTTATATCAATCGACATTCTCCGAGCCAGTCCAATGATTGATCCCGAGCTGTTTCGGCAGTGTTCCCCGAGCCGGTTTTGATGATACGGCCCGAGGTATTATTTCCTAGCTCGGACTCAGTGCGGATGGAATCCGACCCCAACAAAAATAATAATAAAAACTATAAAAATATTATTAGTAGTAATAATATACTTCCACTTTTAATAGATAAAAATTACAAATGATCATATTTCAAATCTTTAAATGTGTTAACATGTTTAATAATAGAAGTAAATTTTAAATACATGGTAGAATAAAAAAATCTATGTAATTCTATATGTAAGATTTTAAACAAGAAAATAAAATTTAAAGTGAACCATTAGTTTCTAAATAAATATACTACATATTATTTTTTAGTATTAAATTTTTACTTAAAGAAAAATAAAAGATTACTAAACTCAACTCTAATTTATGAATCACATTATTCATGAGTTCTACACAAACTATATAGAAAATGAAATGTAAGCCATTAAAAAAAGTGATATGTAATTTGTATAGCATATTCTCAAGTGCAACTACAACTTTATAACATGATCGAAAAGAAAAACAAGATTGATATTTCATCAATTGAATCAAATGCTTTTAACCCAAAAATTTGAGTATTGAAAGCATTTATGGGTTAATCCGGAGTTAAAGTAGTATATTTATTTGAGTAAAAAAGTTCAATTTGAGTAAACCCAAAAATTCACTACTAAAAATTCATCAACTTTTATCACAAATACAAACATATATTTTTATATATAAGTTTTAGCCCAAATTTTCAAGATGGATTATTTTTTTCAACTTTATTTTATTAGTCAAGAAATTGAACTTTTTATGTTTGTAAAGTGAAAAGAAAAAGTAAAAAAAACTACATTTTCCCACTTTAAAACCTATGAGATAAAATCTACTTTAACTCATTACCACACACCATACAATTTTTAGATTGGGTGAAAAAAAAAAATGGAATATAACTTTTAGAAAAAAAAAATTCCTATTCAATTTTGTAGAGTGAAAATTCTTTTACTTTTTGTCCTATTTTTTTTTTTTTTAGAAGAATTAAGATTTGAGAGTAGTTATAGTCTAACCTTCATTTTCGTTTGATTGACGAAATATAATAGCTTCCATTCACACTCTAAAATAAAATTAACAAATTTTTGGACACCAGAATTTATGTTTTGTCAACGTCTTTTATAATTTGGATATCCAAAACAAAAAATCTTAACCAAACACCAGTTTTCGGTGTCTATCATTGTGGTGTTTGTCTTTAGAATTTCTTCTCAGTTGATGGGATTCTCATATCCGGGTGCGGTGTTTCTGTTTACCGCGATGGCACTCTCAGATCCGGGTTTGGTGCTTCTGTTTACTGCGGTCCTGGCAGGCCCGGCGGAGAGGGCAAGCTAGTGAAGCCACCGATTAGGGTCTCAAAATTTTGAGGGCCTTTTTACCTAAAAATTTGTTAAGTTTTCTTATATACAATAATTTTTGTAGGGCCTTTTAAAAATATTGTGGGTTTTTAGAGACAACTACAACATTTTTTTAAGGGTAAAAATCTAATTTAAAAAAAAAAAAATTATGGGCTTTAATTTTGCTTAGGGCACCCAAATTGTTCGGGCCGGCACTGGATCCTGGTCTCAGTGGTAGCACAATGTTGATTGATTGATGTCCAACTGCAACAGTAAAAGGTGTGGAGAAGGAGAGGGGAGAATTTGTTTGGTCCAAAACTCAAGATAGTTTGTAGGTTCTGTGTTTTTTTTTTGCCATGTTTTGGTTTTAAACTAGGTTTTGATTATGTATCTCATCCAAGATTCTAATAAAACTAATTTTAAGTATTAAAAACACCAGTTTTCGATGTTTTTGCCACGCTCTAATATACTTTGTTACTTATCTATTCACTGTTGATAGTGATATGGTGTCGACAACCAAAACTAGTGATATCTAGAGAAGTCAATAATTCGGTGACACGTGGATAGATATATAAATTTGGTCGTAAAGTTGGGAGATCTAAAGATTTCAGACTTTTGCATGTATTATTAGTTTCCTGTCGAAATTCCAGATCAATTTTTTACCTTCTTCCTCACCATTCACCAATGACACTACACATCATTGACATTGCCGGCGTCATCCCTGCCGTCGACTCGGACTCGGTCCTGAACTCGGCCAACTTGGTCACAATCCCTTTAACTTTCTTTGATCTACCTTGGCTACTGTTCCAGCCAGTCAAGCGAGTCTTCTTCTACAGACTCACCGAGTCGAAGCATGACCATTTCCACTCCATCATCCTCCCGAGGCTCAAGCTCTCTCTCTCCCTTGTCCTCCGCAACTATCTCCCTCTCTCTGGCCGCATCACTTGGGACACAAACGAGCTTAAACCGAGCATTGTCGTCTCTCCAAACGACGCCGTTTTGGTGACGGTAGCCGAGAGTGACGCTGATTTTTCTCATCTTTCCGGCTATGGACAACGTCCTGTTTCCGAGTTACACAACTTGCTCCCCAAGTTACCCGTTTCGGATGACTCAGCGACCGCCTTCTCTATACAAATCACGTTGTTTCCGAACCAAGGATTTTCCATTGGCGTCGCAGGACATCATGCCGTTATGGACGGGAAAACGTCAAGCATGTTTATCAAAGCTTGGGCTCATACATGCAAACACCAACTCGAAAATATAGCCTCTCTGCCGGATATTTTAACTCCGTCTTATGATCGGTCATTGATCAAAGATTTGACCGGACTCGATGAAAAGATAATCCAGATGGTGAGATCGTTGAAAGGTAACAAAACTAACATCAGAAGCTTGACTCCGTTTCCCGCAAGAAAACTCGCAAACGACGTAGTCTTGGCCACGCTCGTGCTCTCTTGCGAAGACATCAAGAAGCTCAGGGAGCAAATCAAGAACGTGTCACCAAGCCTTCATTTGTCGACTTTCGTAATTTCCTACGCCTACGCGTGGACCTGCTTTGTGAAGGCACGTGGAGGAAGCGGAGAGAGATCAGTGAGTTTCCTCTTCGTTGGAGATTTCAGAGAACGGTTAGATCCGAAGCTTCCGGCGACTTACTTCGGAAACTGTATGTTTCCGGTGGGTTGTTACAACCGTAAGGCGGTGGAGTTTACGGAAGAGAAGGGACTCGTAACGGCCGTTGAGATTCTTAGCGATTTAGTCAAAGGATTAAGTTCAAGAAAAATAGAGACGATCGTGAAGGAGTTAGCGGAAAGTTTTGATTTCCAAAAAGGAAGTACACAGTTTGGGACTATAGCCGGGTCGACCCGTTTGGGAATATACGAGTCGGATTTCGGGTGGGGAAGACCCGTTAAGGTTGATGTTGTCTCTATTGATCAAGGAGAATCGTTCTCTATGGCGGAGAGACGTGACGAATCAGGTGGTGTGGAGATTGGGATGTGTTTGAAAAAGACTGAAATGGACAACGTTATGGCTTTTTTCAACAATGTTAAAATACGTTTTTAGAAAGCCCATTTTAATAAGGTAAAAGCTTGCTTAGTTTGTTCTTGTGATGTTCAATAAATCTATGTGTGTAAGTCTTTCTCTATATCTCCACTCTTTTCATAAATATGTTTTGTAAGCTTTATATCATTATGTACTTGTAGTTTTGAGTTTTTAGGTGAATTTTCTTAGTAAAGTGTTGCCTAAAGAAAAAAAAAATTGGTTTATCTCGAAATCGATTCTATTTTAGGAGGGAGGAAAGGTCTTTACTCTACCACAATAACTAATTCAAAATGATGATGTCCCTCAACTATTTTATAGATATCTGAGAGCATCTCCAACCAAAAAAAACTGATGAGAATTTCTCAATTATATTATTTTATTTATTTAATAATAAATAAATTATTTATTTAAATTTTTAATTATATGAAAGAAAATCTGACCAATCATATAAACCCAACTGTTAAAGTGGATGTCTCAGAGTTTCTCATATGAGAATGAGAAACGTGTATAGTTCTCTCTCCGCTTTTTTCATTACTTTTTATTTTTTTAATTTTTAGACACTCTCTCAGAAACTGTCATTGGAGATGGTCTGATGTCTCTGGGCCGAGTCTGAACAGATCAAAGAAGCACATGTGTTGTTAAGTTGGCGCATTACTCTTTTTCCCTACCATGTGCTTTTGATTTGAATGTCCCTTTTTCTGTCTCATGTTATATATATTTTTGTCAAATTTTTTTTTAACATCATCAAATTTATTTTTCTGTCCTTTTATTATTTTTCTCTAGGTTTTTCTCTTTCTTAAAATCTTTTTAATTGGTAAATGAAGTTTTGTTATAAACTAGTAAGTGGTAAGCAAACTCATCAAAAAAGAAAAACATATATAAGGATTTTCAGTCAAACCTTATTGTTTAATTATATCAATTTCAAATTTTTGATTTAAAATTCATATTTACATTTATGTTATTAAAATAAAAAATTGTCAGCAATCTTTTCAAAAATATTTACGTACGTATACATATCATTAAAGCGGCAAAATTTCAGGTAAAACAAACAAAAATTAAAGTTTAAAATTGATTAAAAACTAACATGAGGAAAGATTCTTATTTTCTTTAGGCAACAAACATACTAGGATGCGTGATGGCCTGTTTGATATATACTCTACAAGAGATTTGTTGTTTAACGTCTTTTTACTAACGTCACTTATTGAAGTGACGTGAAGTTCAGAAGAGAGAAGGGATTTAGCGTCGTTTATCTAACCGACGGTAATTAAATTAATCCAGTTTTTAGGTTTACCTCTTTCTCTGCAAATAAAATTCTCATTGTTTCACTGTCCCGATCTTGTTAAAGATTTTAAATGTGCAATGACTTTTCATATAACATTTGGTATTTCTAGTTAACGGAACCTACAAAGATCTTATAGATCTGAACGTAAATAATTGATTTTTCTTTGCTATTGGTACTTTGCCACTCTTCTTCTTGTATGGGATGATACTTTTGGTTATTTGATAGTTCTCTTCCTTGTAGAGTGGGAACTTTTGGTCTATTGGAGAAGAAAAGTCTTAAACAATGCTTCAAAGGTTGCTCTGGTTCTCATAGTCCAAGGCACGTTCTTACTACCTTATAAATGGGATCAGAATCAAGCTTTCATTTTTAACTACAGGCTCCTTAGTTTCTAATATTTTTGTTCTTTTTTTTTTTTTTTGATAAACCCTATCGGTTATCCGGTCGGCCCCGGTAAAAACGCACCGAGGTGCTACATAGTGGACTGGTCCACCGTGTTAACGGTTAGGTCCTTACGGGCTATCACTCTGCCTATCCCGAGTTTGGAATGCCTTCCGATCGACTAAGTGCCAGGATGTAGTCATGCCGCCTGTATTTCTGGCTACCAGGTAAACCAATTGGGTCAGGACCCAACTGACAGACTTTCCAAACAAATGTGTTTTTGTTTCCAGGGAAAATCGAACTCAGGTTTGGGAGTTTCACCATTTTCCAATGTTTTTGTTCTTTAATCACTGTTTATATGTATGTATGTTCAATGTTTCTTGTAGTTTTAACGCATCTGATATAGAATGCATAATAATCTGCAAAACTCACTTATTGTGTTTATGCTCAATTCTCTGCTCATTGCTGAAAGGGGACACTATTTATTGGAGGATTATAAAAGTATTAAGTAGAGAAGGTGTTGTCCAAGAATAATTTTAGACAAAAGAAGTTTTGACATGTGAGTGAAGTTGGTGGGAATTCATTCAATCATCAAGCAATTCCATGATCTGGTGAATAATTATATATTGCATTTTCTTGCATTATATTCTTACATGTAAATGTTTTCATATTTCAGGCAAGGATTTCAGTAGCTGAAGTTTAAAGTTTGGAAGATTTTAATATGTTCGCAATATTGTGGATTGTCTATTGTTGTATATTAAAAGACAGATTATATATGTTTGATGTAAACGTATTTCTTATTTGATTAATATAATTTTTTTTGGTTCCATTGTTTCAAAGTTGTAGTTAATTACAATGTTTATTTATATTTGATACATAATTATTAAAATAATGGGCAATAAAAAAAATGGAATTTACTGTACCAAGCAAACCGACGTAAACATAAAGTTAAAGCTTTAAAAATTGATGTAAGAAACCGACGGAAGTTTTAAACGTTAAATCTTAAATATAACGTTATTTGTAAAACCGAAGTAAAAAATATTAGTGTCATCCCTTATTACGACGGTTTAAAAACTAACATTATAATATTAACGTCAGTTATAAACCGACGTTAGCCATGATAATAGCCGACGTTAAACCCCTTCTTTGTTGTAGTGATATTTTGCGATTTTGGCTAGTGTGTTCTCTTGCAAAATGGTAAGAAAAATGGAAAAACGCTTTAAGAAGTTTCAAAACTTACGAAACAAATACTTTATTTGAAACAAGAAATAAAATACTCCACTTTATATTATTTCGCTAACAAAATATTAATGAATTTAAAGTGATTTGAGTTTTATTGAGTTTTGAGATTATTTTGGTGAAATTTGGTGAATTAGAAATTTTTTTATTTCAAATTATCTCAAATCTCACCTAAAACCAAGAGATTTGTATCTTTGTATCTCAAATATAATGAATTTTTTTGGGGGTATTTATGTCGTAAGAAATTTTTCTACAAAGTGATTTCAAGAAATTTCCGTAAACCGTTTAATAGTTAAACCTGAAATTCACCTCCCTCTACTAGGCGATGACCTTATGATAAAAATCTGAAAGAAAAAACTCAAATATATTGGTTTACTTTTGACAAGTCAAATATCAGATATTTATACACCCACCGGTTGGGTAAACCAAGCAGGTGGTTGATATTTTTGGGAGAGAAGTAAGTAAGGAAGGACACATAACCTCCAAAAGAAGCTAAAATGCATATATAAGCGTAGTCAAACAAAGCCAAAGTCAAACAATAAAACTTTGGACTTCACTACCGAGCCATGGTGAATTTCAACTCAGCCGTTAACATACTTGTGGTGGTCCGAGTTAGCCCGCCGTCTTCTAACTCGCTAACACTCCCACTCACTTACTTTGACTTAGGTTGGCTCAAACTCCACCCCGTTGATCGTGTTCTTTTCTACCGCGTCCCCGAGCTGACTCGCTGTTCTCTCATCACTCAAATCAAGTCCTCTCTCTCAGTCACGCTCCTCCACTATCTCCCGCTCGCCGGCCGCCTCGTGTGGGACTCAATCGACACCAAACCGTCCATTGTCTATTCTCCTAACAACGACGATGCCGTGTATCTCACGGTAGCTGAGTCTAATGGTGATCTTTCCCATTTCGCCGGAGATAAACCTCGCCCCGCCATCGATTTTCATCCTTTAGTCCCTGAGTTATCGGTTTCCGACGAATCGGCTGGCGTTCTCGCCGTTCAAATAACGTTTTTTCCCAACCAAGGGTTTTGTCTCGGCGTAACCGCACATCATGCCGTTTTAGACGGAAAAACAACAGCCATGTTTCTCAAAGCATGGGCTCACAACTGTAAACAAGAACAAGAATGTGGTCACATTGCTCTGCCTCTGCCACATGATCTAATCCCTTCTTTAGATCGTACCATTGTTCAAGACCCAACGGGACTCGAGACAAAACTCTTGAACCGGTGGATATCAGCTTCCAACAACAAACCAAGTTTAAAACTGTTTCCTTCCAAAATAATCGGATCCGACATTCTCCGAGTCACGTACCGGTTAACTCAAGAAGACATCAAGAAGCTACGTGAACGAGTGGAGACCGAGTCACACGCTAAGCAGCTCCGTTTGTCGACTTTTGTCATCACTTACGCTTACGTTATAACATGCATGGTGAAGATGCGTGGAGGTGACCCGACCCGGTTTGTGTGTGTCGGTTTTGCATCAGACTTCCGGTCCCGGTTAAACCCTCTGTTACCGTCGACATTCTTCGGGAACTGCATTGTCGGGTCAGGAGACTTCGACAGTTCGACGTGAAAGCAGAACCAATTTTGGGAGAAGGAGAAGGAAAAGGTTTTATCTCGGCGGTCAAGAGTTTTACCGGATGGGTCAACGGATTGTGTCCGGAGAATATAGAGAAGAATATGCTTTTGCCGTTCGAGGCGTTTAAGAGGATGGAACCGGGAAGACAAATGATTTCGGTTGCCGGGTCGAACCGGTTAGGGATTTACGGGTCTAATTTTGGGTGGGGAAAACCGGTTAAGGTAGAGATTGTGACGATTGAGAAGGATGGTTCGGTTTCATTGTCGGAGAGTGGAGATGGAAGTGATGGTGTTGAGATTGGTATTTGTTTGAAGAAAGATGACGTGGAACGTTTTTGCTCGTTATTTTCTCGGGGGTTGAAATAAGATAAAGGGTTTGTTCGAAAACTAGTACATTTCTCAAACATAATTGTAAAAGTAATACAGTTATTATTTACAATTAGGAAAATCCCCAGTTTTTACTGTTTGTGTAATAGATTTGGTGTGAAATAGGTTTTGTAGTGGAATTGGGAAATTACAGAGAAGGGTCTGTGACTGTTTTTTTTTTTTTTTTCTCGCCAAGGCCTTTTGACGATTTGCTTTTATCTAACGTTTCTTCTTTCCCTCTCTCTCTTATCGTCTCTCTTGTACAAAGCTCAATCATTGTTTCCCAGAGATTGTCTATTGGATCAAGACTATTTTGGGTAGTCCATCTCTTTCTCAAAATTCGTTTCTTTCTGCAAAACATGATTTTTCTCATGATTTTAAATCAGTTTTTGAATTGAATTCCGAAAAAATCGAATTAAAATTTGGGCAATTTCAGATCGAAGCTCTTAGGCTCTTGAAAGCCGACACGCCGCTATACGAGACTATGGTAATGTTCTTCAACCTACAAATCAATTTTTTTTTTTTTTTTGGGAACAATTAAGTTTGGCCGTTGATGTACTAAAAACAATTAGAAACATGTTTCTTTTGAGTTAGTGTTGTCGTCTTTTACAATGGATTTCTGTGTTGTTTACACAAATCGAAATTGAAATTTTGTCTCTGTTTTACTAATATACTATGAAATCTCTTGTATATACATGTATTTATATTACAAATTTAGAAATCTGGATTCTCTTTGATTCAATTTGGTAAATATTTTTGTTTATTAGAATCTAAGCGTTACAACGAAGAAGAAGAAGAAGACTCTCTTGTAGATAAAGTCACTCGTCTACTCAAAGGTTTATCAATTTAGGGTTTAATTATAGATCTTGATTTGTTCTTTGTTTGCATCAATTTAGGATTAACAAATTAGTAAAAATTCGTTTATAGGGAACATTATGCTTAATTTTGGGGGAATCATTGAATTGGAATTGGATGATTCTAAGTTTTTACAAGAAAGTGGGGAATGTTGTTACATATCTTTAACTTGTGTTACTAAAATATCGGTTGGAATTTGGTTTTAGGGAAACAAGATTGACTCATAAACATTTCTTAGTTGAGAAGCTTTTTTAAGGTAAATCAAAAAGTGACAACGATTAGTCGAACATTTTGTAATTTGACTTGATTGGAGTTCATTGAGCTTATAATCTGTAGAGAAATGACAGTGCCTAGTGTTTGAGTGTGAGAATGTAACCTTTAACCCGAACACAGAGGAATAAGATTTAGGGTTGATTTTTGGTTTGCATGTTTAATGTCATCTCAGTCTAGCTACCCTTTCTGTGATTTTTAAGTTCATTACTTATTACTTTACCCAATTTTGTAGATAGCAGCATTTTCATTCTCGTTTGATTTTAATTTTGTTAAGTTTTTCTTAATCTTTTTACATGAGCATCTCTGAAGAAACTTGTTTAATTGTGTAGATGTATAAATGGAGTTTGTATAGAAGAAGTTGCAGAAGGCCCATTATATATTGGAACTTGGGTATTATTTGGATTTTGGGACTTTTGCTAATTTAATAGAAGGTTCTTTGAGCATGTATGTTAATTTTTGTAACTTAGGTAAGAAACTAAACTACATAACAAACAATGTCTTCAGATAGTGCACTTGTTTTTCTTGGATGTGTAAGGATTCTCTGATCTGTACATTTATTAACTGTTCAGTTAGTACTATCTGTACAGTTGGTTTGATCTACAAATATCTTCTACATATAGTCTTTCTGTACAACTAAACAATTGTACAAAAAACCATGTCCAAACGGAATATTACATCTGTACAGTTGTTTGAGTGTATAGTTGCTAACCATCTGTACAGATATCCTAATGTACAGATCAAACTCTCTAAAGACCAAAATCACTATTGAATAGTTTGATCTGTACAATATATTTGGCGGACAGATAGTTTAATCTGTACACTATATTTGGCGGACGGATAGTTTGATCTGTACAGTATATTTGGCGGACGGATAGTTTGATCTGTACAGTATATTTGGCGGACGGATAGTTTGATCTGTACAGTATATTTGGCGGACAGATAGTTTGATCTGTACATTATATTTGGCGGACGGATAGTTTTATCTGTACAATATATTTGGCGGACAGATAGTTTGATCTGTACAGTATATTTGGCGGACGGATAGTTTGATGTGTACATCAGGTTTTCTGTTCACACATCCATCATTTTTTGGTTTTGAATATGCACACATGTTGAGTCAACATTTATCTTTTACCATATTTTTCCCACATGTTCCTTTTACTATATTGTACAAATCAAATTATCTAATCTTGCAATCGTAGAACCAAAGAATGAAACAAAATTGTATTTTCATTTTGTTCCCCCCTATGAATTTATTTGTGTAGAATAAAAAATCCTATCATTTGGAATAGCTCTTGTTCTTTGCAGTTTTCCAATACCGTTGGATCAATTATCTCAATAAATTTGGGTTTGAATATGTACACCTATAGAGTTACATTTTTCTTTTACCAAATCTCCCCCATGTGCTCTCTTGACTATATTGTACAAATCAAACTATACAATCTTGCAGTCAAAACAAAATAGAACCAAGTGATTATCTTGCCTACTTTCCCATAGTTTTATCATGAAAAAGTCTCCAGTGGTGTATTGATTCCGCTACACTAAGTCGCTACAACCTTTGGTCTGAAATCTTGAAATTTCGGGATGACCTTCTTTTACGCGTCATATTGACATCTGTGCACTAAATCGGTCATAAATCTTGAACTACTGCTCTGATAGGCCTGAAATCTCATTTTCTTTAAAATCAAAAACGTTTAAGCAATCTGATAAAGATATACCTTCTTCTTGAACTTGACTAATTCATCGATTAAAGAAAAGATGGTATGATCTTTACTAATCCCAACATTTTCCCGGATGGAACTGCATAAAACATCAGTCATGAATTAATCTTCTCAAAAAATATTGTTTCACCCTAGACACAAACATAACGTGGAACTAACATAGAATGGAATCGGAAATAAGAGATAAAGAGCTTCTAAATTCCACAACTACATAATTTACGAATCATTCTTCTCAAAAAAAATAGCTTCATAGTAAACACAAGCATAACCAAGAAATATTAGAGAACTAAATTTGAAATAAGAGGTAGAGATATCTAATTTCATCACCACATTCCTGTTTCAGAAATTCATTCATGAATCAATCTCCTCGAGAAAACCAGTTTCATCCTAAACACAAACCAAAACAAAGGAGTACTTGAGATTATAATTGAAAATATTAGCTCAAGAGCTTCTAAATTAGACAGTTTCATGTTTCAATTCCATCCTTGGAAAGCAATGCTATTCAAACCGATTGATCAGCTAACAACCTAATGCATCAGAATACAAACTCCACTAACAAAAGTTTCACGATCGATACTAATTCTCTGAAATTTCCGATTTGAATAATTAGAAATCCTAAACCCAAACGCATTTCAATCGATTAAAAGTATCAAACCAAAAATCCCAAAAAGAAAAATCTTATCTTTACCTGAGTAACCGTTTTGCCATGTGCATAGTGAAGAAGACCAGAAGAATGCGTTTTAATCGAAACACAATTCATCATCTAATTTTTGGTTCTCGTACTTAGAATTCAAACCCATAGATCTTCTTTTTTCTCTCACTTGGAGGTCTCTTAGGTTGATTTGGATCCTTCTTCGTCTTCTTCCCAGGCTTTCTACCTCTGGTTTTGAGTCTGATAAATCGGAAAACGAAGAAATCAGATTTTGAAGATGCGAAAACAAATCTGGATCTCAAGTCGGAGAAGAAACCTAACCTCTGATCAGTGCTCGTTGCTTCAGCTTTGGATTCGCCGCCTTTCATGTCGAAGTTTCTGCAATTGAAGAATGACAAAGAAACGAAGAAGAAGATCGTTGGAGAATCGTTTGACTCGGACTGAGTTTTGGGGAAAAGGAAGGTTTAGAGAAGACATAATTTATTTTAATGTCAATGGCACTGTCGTAAATATAAGAAATATGTGAGGGTCACAATGTCTTCGAAACAGTTGCAGCACAGTGAAAGTGGGGGTTTTCCCGATTATAAATAGTAAATGTACTGCTTTTCTAATTATGTTTAGAAAACGTACTATTTTGCAACTTATCTCTAAGATAAATGAGGTTACAAATTATGAATGTATGTTGGTTTAAGATGAATCACTTTTTTTTTTAGTTTACAATATTTTAAGAGTAATTAAACAGTTTACTTATCTAACTAACACTTTCATAAAACAATTTACGAAACAACCCAATTTAAAAATAAATGATTGAATTTTTAAATTTGAGGATTACTAAAATGATAAAATGATGAATTACTGAATTTTGAACTTACGTTTTTTTCTCAACATTTTGCATAACTCTTAAAATTTTCTAATGATTTTTTTCTACACCTTAAAACAATGTACTTACCTAGTGAATGACTCCATGATTTGTGGATTAAAAATCTAGTAAAACCTCTACAAAAAATAATACTCAATAAATTAATTATCACTATAAATCTAAAATTTATGATATATTAAAACAGAAAATAAGTATTTTATAAATTTTGTGATTAATACAAGGGTTCTTCAAGTGGTTAGGTTCGAGTGCAAATTTTGACAGTGAAATCCGATATATGTGGATAAAAATAATTCAAAGATAATATTTGATATGTAAGAACTGTTGACAAAAAAAAACATGTTGCAACTGATTAGAGAAAATTGAGTATAACAAAATAAAATAAAATAACAAAGTTTTGATATAAGTTAACAATAACTCAATAGTCTGATCAGTTATATGTTAGCGATGAGAACGTGAAAATATAAATATGTCGGGAGGCAAACGAATGCTCTTGGAACAAGGCGAAAGAAATTAAGGTGAAAAGTTTTTAAGAGAAATTGACGAAAATTTTAAAAATATGTACATAACTAAAGTAAAATCTTTCAATTCTCATTCATTCGATATAAATGAGTTTAATACTATTTAATATCTTAACAAAATTAGTGGTTCGGGTTATCGGTTCAAAAGCAGATTAAACTCTTTGGTTATGTAAGTGTGATATGTGAGATATGAGATACAAATATTTATGACTTGGTCAAAACTTATCTTATGGCACGATACGCTTGCTTAGATGTGTGACATTATTACATCAACAATAAAAAGATATGTACAATTAGATCAATGATCAAACAAAACCTCTAGGAAGATGTATTCATGTGATACAATATGGAAGAAACTCTCTCTGAAATAAAAAAAAATGTGGGATCGTCGCTAAGGCTGTTTTCTCTTCTCTCGAGTTTTGTCAACTAATTTTTGCTATTACGTGTTACCTAACAATTCGTTGTATTTTCAAAAGAAACATCATTCTCGGCAAAATCTATGTTGTATATCGCTTTATAAAATATGTTTTTGTCTATCTAAATATATTTTTATGTTTGAAATGATTATATTAAAAAACAACTTATATTGTTAAAATTTTAAAGTAAAATTCCGCGCAACGCACGGGGCGTATAACTAGTTTATAGAATATATACTACAAGAAAACCTGCAATTTGGGACTCTTTGTTATGACTATTTTTATAGTCGCAAAAAAGCGCGACTACTTTGTGTCTGTTTTGCAACTGTTAAACAACTACAAACAAAACAGATGGAAACTGGTCGCTTATTAGCGACGGAAATAAGTAGTCGGACAAAAGTTTCAGTTAAGCGACTACTATCCGACCGTTTACCGATTCAATATTTTTGGTCGCAACAAGGTCGCACTTTGAGACCACTTAGCGACTTGTTATCTATAGAACTCTTTTTTTTTACAATTTGACTAAAGGTCACAAAACGGTCGCAAATTTTGCAACATATTTGCGACGAACAAAGATAATCGATCACATTTATCTGAGATTTAGCGACCACTTTGTTACATATTAACAACTCTCGATATTAAACATTCGAAATATCAGATTTGAGGTTTGTGACCATAATCCGACATATTGTGTGACCATTGTACGACTGATGTTGTGACCCTTTCGCGTCTAGCACCTGAGATTAGTGACTATTTTGCTACATATTACCAACACTCGATATTTTCAATTCGAAATTTGTAAATTGAGGTTTGTTTACATGTTTACATGTTTTCTTATATATTACTACTTTGATTTTATTGAAGTTAGTTAGAAAAGACTTAACCAACCTCTTGAAATTCAATGTTAACAATCCATACATTCAAAAGTTCCAAATCCATATGAACTAAGCATGTCTCTTTATGAACACAATAGGGAATTTTGTAAAATTTCTAAAATAAGTTAAGAAGTTCAGGTTTGATCAACCTAACACTTATATATGTACTCTATGCTACTAAACTGAGTGTTTATTAGTGATTTCTATCAGTATAGTGAATCAAATCCAAAACTTTTGTATTTTTCTATAGTGACTACTCATTATCTGTGTCAACTTAGTCACACTTTGCGACTAGTTTGTGACATTTTCGCGATTGTACCTATATTGTGACTAAATTACGATAGGTTTTGTGACTATTTGCCGACGAATATTGCAACGGTTTTACGACTTTTTCGATGTTTGTTATATTTTAAGAAATTTTGCTAACTATTTTGTGACCCTTTCGCGTCTAGCACCTGAGATTAGCGACTATTTTGCTACTGATTACCAACGCTTGATATTTTCAATTCAAAATTTGTAAATTGAAGTTTGTTTACATGTTTTCTTATATGTTACTACTTTGATTTTATTGAAGTTAGTAAAAAAAGACTCAACCAACCTCTTGAAATTCAATGTTTACAATCCAAACATTCAAAAGTTCTAAATCCATATGAACTCATCATGTTACTTTATGAACATCATAGGGACTTTTGTAAAATTTATAAAATATTTTGAGAAAGCCAGGTTTGACCAACCTAACACTTATACATGTATTCTATGCTACTAAAGTGAGTGTTTATGAGTGATTTCTATAAATAGAATGAATCAAATCCATAGATTTTGAATTTTTTGTGTTGTGACTTTTTATTGTCTGTCTCAACTTAGTCACAGTTTGCGACTATTGTGTGACATTATTGCGACATGTACCTTTATTGTGACTAAATTACGACAGCTGATCTGGGCTGCGGCTCTAATGGGCAAGTATTTT